CCAGCAACGTTACAAAAAACTGCGCTACTCGGAACATCTTACTGTATATTATAAGGAGGTACCTAGATGACACCTAGGATGTTGGTAGCAACCTGTGTCAACCATCAGCGCCAGCCAATTTGAATGTTCAGTTGACTGAGGTTCATGTTTAATGAATAAAAGATAATAACAATAACAATAATAAGTTGGAAGGGACCTTGGAGATCATCTAGTCCAAGGGTGTCAAACTCGCCACGTTATGTGATGTGTTGCGATGTATCGCGACTCTTTTTGCATTGCCAGCAATGGGGTGGGCACGGCTTCGATATGATGCATCCGGCCCGCAGGCAAGCAGTTTCATACCCCTGATCTAGTCCAACCCCCTCTCAGGCAGGAAACCCTATACTAGGGGTGTCAAACTCACAATGTCACATGATGTGTCGTAACGTATCGCAGCTTTTTTGCCATTGCCGGCAATGGGGTGGGCGCAGTTTCGCTATGATGCATCCGGCTTGCGGGCCGGCAGTTTGACACCCCTGCCCTATACCATTTCAGACAAATGGCTGTCTGAATACAATCTGGACTTTTGTAAAGATCAGACAAATTGCTCATTGGCAGACAAACAGGTACACATTTCCATTTAGGAGTACTGAGAAGAAAGGACTCTCGGGACCGTCCACTTCTTTGGCTCAAGGCAGGAATTCAAATAAAAAAAAACAGTTTCTAGTATCCAGTTGGCATATGCCTTCCCGAAAATGAAACCCATTTGTTCCTAGTGACAGAAAAGATTCCTGTCATTGCTGGCTAATATTTAATTTGCGTATTTTTGCGGGAAGGGAATGTTTATGTTTTGATGTTGTGACAAGATGAGATTGAATTGCATCATCTGTCATTTTGAAAGTCGTTGGATTGTAATTTCCTAATTTTCTTCAATAATAATAATAATAATAATAATAATAATAATAATAATAATAATAATAATAATAATAATAATAATAATAATAATAATAATAATAATAATAATAATAAAGTTGGAAGGGGCCTTGGAGGTCAACTAGTCCAACCCCCTGCTCAGGCAGGAAACCCTATACCATTTCAGACAAATGGCTGTCCAGTCTCTTAAAAACTTCCAGTGTTGGAGCATTCACCACTTCTGGAGGCAGGTTGTTCCACTGGTTAATTGTTCTAACTGTCAGGAAGTTTCTCCTTAGTTCTAGGTTGCTTCTCTCTTTGGTTAGTTTCCACCCGTTGCTTCTTGTCCTGCCTTCAGGCGCTTTGAAGAATAGCTTGACTCTTCTTTGTGGCAGCCCCTGAGATATTGGAACACTGCTATCATGTGTGACTTCTCCTAAGTGTGACTTCTCCTAAGTTCTTAGATTGTCTTGTGAGTTTCCTGGGATGGTTGCGATTAACAATTTCAGCAAAGATTTTGACCCAAGAACTAACCCTAACTAGTTCAAACTGTCTCTTCTTTTGTTTTCCTTCCTGATCTATATAAGAGATCTCTTTGGCCTGGATCAGGATGGCCTGTTTCCTTCTGTCATTACTTTTTGCAATGTTTAGATCCTTCTGTTCACTGACAGTGTGAAAACTCTCCCCCTTTTCATATCTCCTGCCCTCACAGCCTCTTTCCACTTAGCCATTGTACAAGGACATCCCAAAGGTGCTTTTTGAGGAGGCAACTGGACTTTCTTGTAAGGTTCTACATTTAGGCAAGAAAAACCAAATGTACAGGTATAGTATAGGGGGTACCTTGCTCAATAGTAGTAACTGTGAGAGGGATCTCGGAGTCCTAGTGGACAGTCACTTAAATATTAGCCAGCAGTGTGCTGCAGCTGCCAAAAAAGCCAACACAGTGCTAGGCTGCATTAACAGAGGGATAGAATCAAGATCACGTGAAGTTTTAATACCACTTTACAATGCCTTGGTAAGGCCATACTTGGAATGCTGCATCCAGTTTTGGTCACCACGATGTAAAAAAGATGTTGAGACTTTAGAAAGAGAACAGAGAAGAGCAACAAAGATGATTAGGGGACTGGAGGCTAAAACATATAAGGAAAGGCTGCTGGAATTGGGTATGTCTAGTTTAATGAAGAGAAGGACGAGGGGGGACATGATAGCAGTGTTCCAATATCTCAGGGGCTGCCACAAAGAAGAGGGAGTCAAGCTATTTTCCAAAGCTCCTGAAGGCAGGACAAGAAGCAACGGGTGGAAACTAATCAAGGAGAGAAGCAACCTAGAACTAAGGAGAAACTTCCTGACAGTTAGAACAATTAACCAATAGAACAACCTGCCTCCAGAAGTTGTGAATGCTCCAACACTGGAAGCTTTTAAGAAGAGACTGGACAGCCATCTGTCCAAAATGGTGTAGGGTTTCCTGCCTGAGCAGGGGGTTGGACTCGATGACCTCCAAGGTCCCTTCCAACTTTATTATTATTATTATTATTATAAATATTAGCCAGCAGTGTGCTGCAGCTGCCAAAAAGGCCACCTCAGTGCTGGGCTGCATTAACAGAGGGATAGAATCAAGATCACGCAAAGTATTAATACCACTTTACAATGCCTTGGTAAGGCCACACTTGGAATCCTGCATCCAGTTTTGGTCACCACGATGTAAAAAAGATGTTGAGACTCTGGAAAGAGTACAGAGAAGAGCAACAAAGATGATCAGGGGACTGCAGGCTAAAGCATATAAGGAACGGCTGCTGGAATTGGGTATGTCTAGTTTAATGAAGAGAAGGACGAGGGGGGACATGATAGCAGTGTTTCAATATCTCAGGCGCTGCCACATAGAAGGGGGAGTCAAGCTATTTTCCAAAGCACCTGAAGGCAGGGCAAGAAGCAACCAATTTAAACTAATCAAGGAGAAAAGCAACTTGGAACTAAGAAGAAATTTTCTGACAGTTAGAACAATTAATCAGTGGAACAACCTGCCTCCAGAAGTGGTGAATGCTCCAACACTGGAAGTTTTTACAAAGAGACTGGACAGCCACTTGTCTGAAATGGTAGAGGGTTTCCTGCCTGAGCAGGGGGTTGGACCAAAGGTGTCAAAAGGTTGGATCATGGCAACTGGACCAGTCTTGTTAATCTTGTTCTGACCCGATTCCCCAAACACAACAGACGCACCAATAAATCTCCAACGTTCCTTTCGCACAGCTGCCTGTTAAAGTCTTTAGTTGCCTCCAAACAACGGAGCTTGCTCCCTTTTCCCCTGCAGGGGTCTTCCAAAACCCAGAGTTAATTTCAATCTCTCACCACGCTTGCAGCAAGAGTCCTTCAGGCAAGCTGGCTCTTTTCCAACACCCACGCGCTCAGAAGGCGCTCTGACTCCCAGCACCGCAGGATCCTAGGAAAGTTTACAAACCAGAGTCAGGAGTTCCAACCAGAACAGGGCTTTTCAACCAGTGGTACGGGTACCACCTGTGGTACATTGGCATCTGGCAGGTGATACGCGACCATCCTAGAAAAGTGGTAGCGGGGGAGGGGAATGAGCTGAACCGGTGGCAGCACCGCACAAGCCTGAGCGAGAGACGGCTGGAGCTGCAGAGCTGTCAGGGCTCAGCAGAAGCGCCAGGATCAACACTAGGCTCCAGCTGGAGCTCAGCGCTGATCCTGGCTCTTCTGCTGAGCCCTGAAGAAGCACCAATCAGCTGGAAAGCAGCACTGATCCTGGCGCTTCTGCTGAGTCCAGAAGAAGCATCAATCAGCTGGAATGTTATTATTATTATTTTATTATTATTAATGTTGCAGCATCTCCAGGGTCTTGTGATTTACATTCAGATGCTTGGCAACTGATTCATATTTATGACGGTCACAGTGTCCCAGGGTCATGTGAAGTGACCAAAACCTGCTGCAACCACCCAGCAGACAGGGGGAATAAAAACCAAACACCCCCCCACCCCACCCCCGCTGCCAATCCTCAACAGAAATGCTCACAACAATGAAAACCTCGGACAGGAGGAAGAGCGCCACCAGGTGGGCAGGCAGGTGTCTTGCTCAGCAGTGGCTTGAGGGGCACTTTTTTCAGTGCCATTGTAACTTCAAACAGTCACTAAGCGAACTGTTGTAAGTTGAGGACTACCTGTACTTTATCACTTTTTTTTGGGGTCATCAAGTTTTTCACACCTTGCTGGTGGTACTCGGATGTTGCCATATCCTAAAAGTGGTACAATGCGTGAAAAGGTTGAAAAGCCCTGAACTAGAAGTGGCTGACTGGCAGGAAGACAAATAGTTGTCTGCCACACCTATTCGTCTCCGCCTCTGCCTCTTATCTACAGCTGAGGGTGGGGCTCTGTTAGCAGCGGTGGCTCTTCCTCCCTGAAGACCACCCCATAGCCTCTCACTGTTCTCCTCTCCTCAGCCTCTGCCACACCCGCGCATCAATCACTGGCCCCATGTGATCTCCTCTCCTGAATCACTTACCTCAAGGCATGGAGGTCTCAGCCTTTCCATCTGGGGGCTGGCGGATGGCCCAGTCTTGGCCTCTGTCCCTGGCTGTGACAGCTCCATTCCTTCGTCCCCAATGGAGCTTTCAGATGGCCCTGATGCTGGGGTCGACGCCCACTCCTGTGCTTCCTCCTCTGAGTCGGCTACAACAAATCTGAGACATTTTATTGCTGATCCAAGAGATTTCATTCGTCAGAGCAAAATTAGTTAAGTGGAGAGTCAAAGAGTGATTGGAAGGTACCAACTCTTGCCACACCAACCTCATGGGTTTCTGTCCACATTGCAACCCATTTTGGGGAGAACCCCCTGAAGTTGGTATGGCAAGAGTTGGTAGATTCCAACAACTCTTTGACTCTTCCTAAGTAATTTTGCTCTGACGGATGAAGTTGCTTGGATGAGCAATGAAAAGTCTCAGATTAACCAAGATTGGTCCAGTTGCCATGATTCAACCTTTTGACACTGCTTTAGAAAGACGATAGTTATCTGTCTCCACCAACACAGGCTCAAATCTCAGGAAACCCTCCTGTATTTGCACCGCATATTTCCTAATCAGAGCCCTTGTCCTTCTTTTCAAGGCAATATGTAGTGTTGGTGCCCAGCACGATCCACATGGAGACCTCTGAGAACTTCTGCATCCAGATGAACCATCTGAAGGAAACACTCACCTTGACCATCTTTCTGGAATACGGGAGCCAGAATTTGATCCTGAATCAAGTGACGGTAGAAGAGAAAGATGGATTTCGGTGTGTTCCTTTCCAGGTAAGACTCCCTCTCTCTCTCTCCCTCTCTTTCTCTCTTGCAAGCTGTGTTTCTAATTCTAACCTACATTGTCAGACAGTCCAATTCATATAAGATAAAATAACCTTTATTGTCATTTTTTACTAAGAGCACACTGCTTACACTAAAAATGAAATTCTGTTGCCTGCTCTCAAAAGAAAGTATATATCTATCCATACCCATACACAACACATATATACACATGCTGTATACATACATACACAACACATACACACATACATATATACAGACTGGATGGCCATTTGTCTGAAATGGTATAGGGTTTCCTGCCTGAGCAGGGAGTTGGACCAGATGACCTCCAAGGTCCCTTCCAACTTTATTATTATTATTATAATCACTGTCCATCTTGAATACATAGCGGAAAGAAGAAACTTGAGAGTTCACAAGGTTAATGCTGTATGGAACAAAACTGTGACTGAATCTGGATGTTCTTTTCAGTTTCAGTTCCATTTCTGGGATTTCTCAATGGTCTCCCATCCAAGGGCTAATTAGTTTTGAATAGCAATAGCACTTAGACTTATATACTGCTTCATAGTGCTTTACAGCCCTCTCTAAGAGTTTACAGAGTCAGCCAATTTGCCCCCAACAATCTGGGTCCTCATTTTACCAACCTCGGAAGAATGGAAGGCTGAGTCAACCTTGAGTTGGGTCAGGATCGAACTGCTGGTGTGAAAAGTGAGTTAGCCTGCAGTACTGCATTCTGACCACTGCGCCATTATGGCTCTTAACTCTTAACTGTTGCCGGGATCCACTTAACAGCTGTGGCAAGGGGCAAAACTCACTTAACAAATGTCTCACTTAGCAATAGGAATGTTGGGCTCAATTGTAGATGTTAGTTGAGGACCACCTGTAAGGTCATATTAAATCCCAGGGAAGATGGTTAGGAATGACAAACGTTTAAGAAAATAAGGAAAGTACTATATATCACGAAGGAAGGTGAATATACGTGTCCCATGATATATTTCGAGAGCAGCTGAGATCAGCCATTGCAACAGAGTCCAAAATCCCTAGACTGCTCTCATCCTTTTAGACTAGAAAAGAATAGAGCTGGAAGAGATCTTGGAGGTCTTCTAGTCCAGCCCCCCGCTCAAGCAGGAGAACCTATGCCATCTCAGACAGGTGACTGTCTAGCCTCTTCTTAAAAATCTCCAGTGATGGAATGCTCACGATTTCTGAAGGCAAGCTGTTCCACTGGTTAATTGTCCTCACTGTTAGGAAGTTTCTCCTTAATTCCAGGTTGCTTCTCTCATTGATCAGTTTCCAACCATTGTTTCTTGTCCTTCCCTCTGGTGCTTTGGAGAATAATTTGACCCCCTCTTCCTGGTGGCAGCCCCTCAAATACTGGAATACTGCTATCATTTCACCCCTATTCTTTTCTTTAAACTAGCCAAACCCAAGTCCCATAGCCGTTCTTCATATGTTTTAGTCTACAGGCCTTTGATCATCTTAGTTGCTCTTCTCTGATTTTTTTCCAAACTCTTATCACATCTTTTTTGTGATATGGTGACCAAAATTGGCTGCAGTATTCCAGATGTGATCTTACTAAGGTTTTATAAAGCAGTACTAATACTTCACGTGATCTTGATTCTATGCCTCTGTTTATGCAACCCAGGATTGTGTTAGCTTTTTTGGCTGCTGCTGCACACTGCTGGCTCGTAGTCAAGTGATCGTCCACTAGGAGTCCAAGGTCCCTCTCACAGTTGCTGTTTTTGAGCCAGGTTTCAACATCTTTTTTGTAGTATGGCTTTGGACATTTCTACCTCTCAAGCGGCTTGATTTGATCTCTTTTCATCCCGTAGATTCCCAGGTGGAGCAACATTTCACCCCCATCGGAAGCCATTCTTGTGTTGAGAGCAAATGGGTTAACCCAGAATTTCTGGAGCCGCAAAAAAGTGCAGATTGAGCAAGCAAAGGATCTGCTTTTCATCCAGACAGACAAACCAATCTACAAACCGAAGCAAGAAGGTAAAGGGCGATTCCGGTGGGAAAGCTGCTTCTGAAATTCCTGCTTTTCTGACCCTTTCGAAATGTTGTCTTTGAATATTTTACAGGCTTTACAGGTTAGTCCTGTAAGTCAATTTTCTTGGTGACCGTTCAAAGTTACAGTAGTGGCCCAAATTGTGGAAACCTTTTGGGAAAAGTGTACAGTAAAAATGCCACCTTTGGTTAAGTTTCCACCATTTTTTCTTCTCATTTCTTTATAACTGTAGCCTTGTTAACTTAATAATTCTATTTTACATCGCTTTCTGGACGATCAGTCAACTCTTTGCACCATTACTTTAATTTTATTACGTTTTTCAAGCTCACTAAATGAAAGAATACAAAAAACCCCAACCAACTTGATAGCGATCACATAACACACTGACAAATGTCTTCCTCTCAGCTTCAATACATGACATCAATAACTGAATCCTACTGTGATCCGATTGGCTCATTGCCAAAACAAGATGGCACCCGATTGGCTCTCTAAACATTCATGCTCATTGGCTACAACCAGATGAAGGAAAGCTACCTGATATCAACCTAAGCGAGTTGTGCTTCCTTTTTCTGGTTATTTGGCTATAACTTTTCATAGAATACAGTACAGATAATTGAACAAACTTTGTTTCATTACATTCTTGATTAAATTATCTTTCCATTGATATATACATTTATGGTACTACTCACCCAAAAAAGAGGTGTTACTAGCCATCAAACCTCAAAAATACACTTTTCCCAAAAGGTTTCCACAATTTTGGCAACTACTGTACAATAGCACTGACAAAAGTGACTTATGATCATTTTTCACATTTACGACCATTGCAGCACCCCCAGGGTCACATGATCAAAATTCAGACGCTTGGCAACTGGTTCATACTTATGACCGTCGCTGTGTTCTAAGGTCATGTGATCCCCTTTTGCGATCTTCGGACAAGCAAAGTCAACCGGGAAGCCAGATTCAGTTAACAACCGGGTTACTAATTAAACAACTGCAGTAATTCACTGAACAAATGTGGCAAGGCAAGTCATAAAAGGGGGGCAAAGCTCACTTCACAAATTTCTCACTTAGCGACATAAATTCTGGTCCCAATTGTGACCGTAAGTCGAGGACTACCTGTATTTTACAAATTTGAAATCCACGTTCACTTAATCCAGGGGTAGGCAACTTTGGCTCTTTTATGACTCGTGGACTTCAACTCCCAGAATTCCTGAGCCAGCATGGCTCAGCTTGGAAACCTCTCCCTTTCCCCTCAGCATGGCTGGCTCAGGAATTCTGGGAGTTGAAGTCCACGAGTCATAAAAGAGCCAACGCTGCCTACCCCTGACCTAGTCCTTGATTTACAACCTTGATTTGGGACCAGAATTTTCATTGCTAAGCAAGGCGATTGCTAACCAAGTCATGCTTGCTCTTACAACCTTTCTTCCCTTGGTTGTTAAGCAAATCACTTGTGACATGAATCATGCAGTTGTTAAGCGAATCTGGCTTCCTCTATTGAACCCATAGTCAGAAGCCTTCTGGAAAGGTCAGAATCAGAATCAGGATCAGAAGAGATTAGATCTAGTCTAATCTCTGCTCACTGCAGTAATACACCGCAGTCTATTACACTGCGGTAAAACACTAGATCAGTGTGTTTCAACCTTAGCAACTTGAAGATGTGTAGACTTCAGCTCCCAGAATTCCACAGCCAGCATGGAATTTTCTGGAAAGACCGCCATGGCCAGCTGGGGAATTCTGGGAGCTGAAGTCCACACACATCTTCAAGTTGTCAAGTATGAGAAACCCTGAACTACAGTAATTGATCTTCAAGATCCCATCTATGCCAACAAAAGTGTGTATAGATAAGGCCATGGTTTTCCCAGTTGCAATGTATGGCTGTGAAAGTTGGACCATGAGAAAGGCTGAGCGACAAAGAATTGAGGCCTTTGAACTATGGTGCTGGAGAAAACTCCTGCAAGTCCCTTGGACTGCAAACCGGTCAGTCTTAGAAGAGATCAACCCCGACTGGTCTTTAGAAGGCCAGATCCTGAAGTTGAAACTCAAATACTTTGGCCACCTAATGAGAAGGAAGGACTCACTGGAGAAGAGCCTAATGTTGGGAAAGATTGAGGGCAATAGAAGAAGGGGACGACAGAGAATAAGGTTGCTGGATGGAGTCACTGAAGCAGTAGGCGTGAGCTTAAATCAGTGATGGCGAACCTTTTAGAGACCAAGTGCCCAAACTGCAACCCAAAACCCACTTATGCATCGTTGAGTGCCAGGTGGGTGTGGCCCATTGTCTGGGTGTGGCCCATTGGGTGGGCGTGGCTATGGTAGTAATGGCAGACTGGGTGGGACTAAAAAATTCAATCAATCAATTCCAACTTTGCAAGATCTTTTTTTTCCTGCGAGAAGTTGAAATTGACTGATTGATTGAACCTTTTTTTTTTGTACACGGCGGCAGAGGCCGCCGTGTACATAAAACCTAGCTGAAGGCCTAGGACTGAGGCAACGGCGCATGTGCCCACAGAGAGGGCTCTGAGTGCCGCCTCTGGCCACCCGTGCCATAGGTTCGCCACCACTGGCTTAAATGAACTCCAGAAGATGGTATAGGACAGGAAGACCTGGAGGAACATTGTCCATGGGGTCGCGATGGGTTGGACACGACTTTGCAACTAACAACAACAATCCCATCTATATTTTAATATCTCTGTATTCAGTGGCCTCCTTTCTCCACATATTCTCTCTCTATGTTTTGCAGTTCAGTTTCGCATCGTCTGTATGGATAAAGATTTCCGTCCCATGAAGAGAAAGGTAAATTTTGTGGGGTACCAAGACAGACAGACATGATGGGGCGTTTGGCATCTCAATGTGAAAATATTCAATCCATGCTCTCCCCGGCGTCAATTCCTTTCTAGGGGAATTGTATGGACCCCTCCCTCCTCACACAGAACACTGAACCTAGCTTGTATTGAGATACTCCTGGGTGAAAACTCATGGAGTAGTTGAAGGCCTTGGATTAGTATAGGATGACTGACCTTAAATCTACTCTTAGTCATGAAAATTGGCTGGGTGACCTTGTAGCCTGTCACTGTCACCAACCTACCTCACAAGGTAGTTATTATGGGGCGGAATTCTAAGAGTAATCCCTCGAGGTAAGGCAAAATGCAAATAAATAAATATCAAAATGATAATGCAACATAAAATAATCCCCTAAAGGTGCTTTTTCAAAAAGCAACTGGACTTTCTTGTTTTTTTCTTTGAAGACATTTCACTTCTCACCCAAGAAGCTTCTTCAGCTCTGACTGGGTGGTGGGGAAATGGAAGGATTTATACTCCTTGCAGACAGCTGAATATATGAAAAGCTCAGGGGGATCTTCAGCCAACACAATACATGTGCACATTTCAAACCCAAGAATACACTAAGAGAGAAGCTTGTCCACCCCAAGGATAAAACATCCGGATGCATACTAAGCAATGTGGTATATGCAGTACAATGCAATGAGCCATGTGCAGATCTGTACTTTGGGGAAACAAAACAACTACTTCATAAAAGCATGGGACAACACAGGAGAACAAACCCATCAGGACAAGATTCAGCAGTCCATCTGCATTTAAAAGACAAAAGACTCTTTTGAAGACAGCAAAATCCACATTTTGGACCACTGGTTTGAAAGAGTACAGACTCTAGAAAGAGTACAGAGAAGAGCTACAAAGATGATTAGGGGACTGGAGGCTAAAACATATAAGGAACGGTTGCTGGAATTGGGCATGTCTAGTTTAACGAAGAGAAGGACGAGGGGGGACATGATAGCAGTGTTCCAATATCTCAGGGGCTGCCACAAAGAAGAGGGAGTCAAGCTATTTTCCAAAGTGCCTGAAGGCAGGACAAGAAGCAACAGGTGGAAGCTAACCAAAGAGAGAAGCAACCTAGAACTAAGGAGAAACCTCCTGACAGTTAGAACAATTAACCAGTGGAACAACCTGCCTCCAGAAGCGGTGAATGCGCCAACACTGGAAGTTTTTAAGAAGAAACTGGACAGCCATTTGTCCGAAATGGTATAGGGTTTCCTGCCTGAGCAGGGGCTTGGACTAGATGACCTCCAAGGTCCCTTCCAACTTTACTACTACTACTATTATTATTATTATTATTATTATTATTATTATTATTATTATTATTATTATTATTATTATTATTATTATTATTATTATTATTATTAGAGGGGTAAAAGAGGCCATCTATGTCAATATTGAGCAGCCCTCTCTCAACAGAAGCGGGGGGATACAACATCATGTATCTCCAGTCTACAACACAGTCCTTTCAGCAGTTCCAAGAAGGTTCCACACCGATTTATACCTCAGTTGACCTTGAGGACACAGACAAACCTCCAAGTGGCCTCAATGGCTCTCCAAAACAGGGGTTCCCAACCGGAAGTGCTCGCACCCCCTGGGGGTGCGAGATGATATTCCCAGGGATACGAAAACTTGGGTTTTCAAAATTATAGTATATATATGCATAATTAGTTGCTGTTATTTTGAACTTTTTGTAAGGGGTGCGAGAATATATCAGAAGCATTCTAGGGGTGCGGGGTACAGAAAAGGTTAGGAACCGCTGCTCTAAAAGAAGGCAAATGACCAGCTGTCTGCAAGGAATATATAAATCCTTCCATTCCCCACCATCCAATCAGAGCTGAAGAAGCTTCTTGGATGAGAAGTGAAACATGTTCAAAGAAAAACAGCAAAATCCAGTTGCCTCTTGAAAAATCACCTTTGGGACAACTATGACCCGGATGACTGAGAATCTCCATAGACATACAAGAATCTCCCATGTCCTTTTTTTTTTTTTACTTACACTTTTTCTCTTTCCTCTTTTTCTTTCCTTGCTGTCTTTGATTTTCCTATGGTTTTTTTTGTCTCCACAGTTTCCAGTTGTGTACATCCAGGTAAGTGCTGAAAGACCATAGCAGTGCCAGGTCCATGGCTGATTGGACCGCATTAATCTCTGGATGGGAGGCCACCAGGAAATCTGAGGGCTACAGGCTCTTGGGAAGTCAAAATGGCAAACCATTTCCAAATCGTTGCCCAGAAAGTGATTCAGGCAGATCCCTTGGTGGCGAGAGAGTTTTAAGTAACTAATGTTGTATCCCATTTCACTTCTTTAAGAATGCGGCTATTTCACAGTCCCACAAAGTTGCAAAATTAGCTCTGCCGAGAAATGAGGGGTACTTTAATTTTGACCAGGCCTGTTCCTATCTTCTTTACTAGGAATTGGACTGAATGAGAGACTTCTCCTTGCATTTGATTAGAGAAACAGTAGCATTGATCAAGGAAATCAACTAAAAACACCAAGCAACTTCCTGCATAAAGTAGTAGTTCATGGAAAGTGGATTAGTGCTACGGTACCATCTCTGGACTGCAATTCCTCAAGGTGTCCACTAGATGGCAGCAAAATTGTGAGATACTCAGGGAACACTTTCCTTCCATCTAGTGGTCTTATGGAATAATGCAGTCTTGATCTGGCAACCAGCCCAGAGGCTTGTTTTGTTTCATTCCTTTACTTCTTAAATTAGTTGCTCTAAAATTGTTAAGAGTATTCAAGAAACTATGTCCCAGCCTCCCTCAGCTTGTACAATCTGAGCTTGAACATCATTTTGCCTAAGGGCAGAGCCTTCTTGCTAATACCTACAGCTATCATCTCCAACTTGAGGCCTCCAGAAAATTAGGGAGTACAATTCCCTGAATTTCCAACCAGCCCACAATTGTCCTTGCTGGATGCAGATTTTGAGAGCTTAATCCCAACACATATGTGGGCTTCTGGAAGACTGTCATATCCCATACACTGCTAATAGCGCTCGGAAAATGGGATAGGACTACATTGTCACAAACCACTGATTCCAGAACAATTCTGGATTATGGGCAGCCTTTGGGACTTGTTATCTTGTTCTTTCCAGGATCCCAAAAACAACCGGGTGTTCCAGTGGAGAGATGTGGAGGTTCTGATGGGCATAATCCAGCTTTCCTATTCTCTGTCTTCTGATCCCCGCTTGGGCACCTACCAAGTGGTGGTAGAGAAAGACTCCACAAAGGTTGCTGAATACAGCTTTGAGGTGGACGAATATGGTAAGAAGGAGAGATCCAGTTTGTCCTGGATATATACCAGTAAAGGTTACAAGATCTGATCAGCAAAAATCTGGACAACCAGGAGATAGCAGAGAAGAATTGCTGCCCTCTAGTGGCCATGCAGATTTTTGGGCAATGCAAACTTGGCAGCTCTGCTTACTCTTTCTGCCACCTGGTGGTCATTCAGACTTTTGCATCCAGAGCAGATAACCCATATGCTCTGCAGCTAAAATGACCACTGAGCTATTATCAAGCTCTGAAACTGAGATTTTCTGTCCTTCAAGATAAACAATGGTTTTCTCTAAGAATCCATTGGAAAAAAAAATATTCAACTCAGATCCCCGCACTATGCTGTGAGTTGGCCTCAGGCTCTCCTTCCAATTTGGGTTTGTTTTTTTTTTAAAAAAAAACATCATTGAATTCCCCTCCTTTTCAATACTATGATTCTGTCTAGCAAGTATATGAGGCCTTGCATTCACCCACTTCAATTGTCACGATATTCACCATGGGTGTTGAAATTGCTTGTATGTCTTTATTGGATCCTTGTAGACCACTATGAGTCTTTCTTGATTTGGCCATCTTCAAATAGAATAAATAAAAAATAGTTTAAATAAATAAAACTAGCTTTTGGACAGTCCAAATTATTCTGCCTTGTTGAATGAAGGTTTGCTTGTCCCAATGAAGTTGTAGCAGCTTAATCTGCACACTGAAGTTTGAAGATTTAAATACCTCTTCATGTTGAGGTGGTAGATTTTTAAAAATTAGGATTATTTTTAATGATGGAAAAAGCAGGATGGAAAGAAAGGAAGGAAGAAAGAAAGGAAAGAAGGAAAAGAAAGAAAAAAGAAAAGAAAGATAGAAAGAAAGAAAGAAAGAAAGGAAAGAAAAGAAAGAAAAGAAAGAAAGAAAGAAAGAAGAAAGACAGAAAGAAAATAAATAAATAAATAAACAAACAAACAAATAAATACAGAAAGAAAGAAAGAAAGAAAGAAAGAAAGAAAGAAAGAAAGAAAGAAAGAAAGAAAGAAAGAAAGATGTATGTATGTATGTATGTATGTATGTATGTATGTATGTATTTGGCAATCAGGGATTTAGCAGACCAGTGACCTCACAATGCTGTTTATCCAGTTTAATTCTAAGACTCAGTTTCTCCAAGAAATGTAACATTGATCTGGTTACTGAACTAAATTAACCTATTTCCTGGGATTTGAGAATACGACTTACTGACTGATCAAATGAATATGGAGTGTCTGTGCCAGGAAGTTAAGATAGTGGTTAAGACAGTGTAATTGAAACCTCACTCACCCACCGCCCCAGAAACTAATTCAATGGGTTGAACTTTTACAAAACATAAGCCACCACAACAAGGACAAATTAGCTAAGAGTGAAGCCAAACTTTTTTTTAGAAGATTGTCCAATCATTAAATTCATTCTGGCATAATGTTTACTGCTTTATTAATGCAAGATTTAATTCATCTTACTTAGATTTACATCTTACTTTTCCTTTCAGACCTCAAAATAATCAGGGAGTCCATGTCTGGTCAATTTCTCCCATCACCCTACCTGTCAAGAGAGGTCACAGGAGAGAACTGAAAAGTTTGTTTCTTCCACAAGTTTCACCCCATGATTTTCCTTCCCTTCCTTTTCCTTTTTCTAGTTCTGCCCAAGTTTGAGGTTTTGATGAAGGCCCCCAAGCTAATCCAGATTTTAACTAAGGAGATAAAAGTCAGTGTGTGTGGCAGGTACGTAATGTTCATCTACTCTCCTGTTTGCATTATGAGCAGAGGGTGCAAGATTTTCCTGGTGTGATTGCAGAAGAAAGGGAGGATGGAAAGTCTGCTCAGGTCTGGGTTTAGTTCTCCTCTTGATGATTTCAGCCTGCAGAGTTGAAGAAGGATGAGAAGCGAAACGTCTTCAAAGAATAGAATAGAATAGAATAGAATAGAATAGAATAGAATAGAATAGAATAGAATAGAATAGAAATAGAATTGGAAGGGACCATGGAGGTCTTGTAGTCCAACCCCCTGCTCAGTCAAGAAACTCTACCACTTCAGACAAATGGCTGTCCAGTCTCTTATTAAAAACTTCCAGGGTTGGAGCATTCACAACTTCTGGAGGCAAGTTGTTCCACTGATTAATTGTTTTCACTGTCAGCAAATTTCTCCTTAGTTCTAGGTTGCTTCTCTCCTTGATTAGTTTCCATCCGTTGCTTCTTGTCCTGCCTTCAGGCACTTTGGAGAATAGATTGATCCCCCTCTTCTTTGGGGCAACCCTTGAGATATTGGAACACTGCTATAGATAAATACTGCTAATAGATAAATATTTATGAAACTGGTGAGAGAGGAAGTACAACAGTAATAAGCAGAGTTCCCTTTAAGGAAGTCAAGTCCTAGTTTGGTTGTTATTGTGAAAGGCTGGGTGAACAAGGCCATCTTCCTGGGTTGTTTAAACAAAGACTGTACAAATAAGCAAAAAGGAAAAAAAAATCCTGGCTGCAAGATTTGCTCTTTAATAATATCTGGAAATTACCCGGAGTCTATCTGGACTGAGATGGTGAATAAATGGCAAAAATAAAATAAAAATAACGCAATACAATATAATATAAAATCAATGATACCTGACCTAATAAATTAATTATGAAAGGGAGAAAAATAAAAGCAATCCAAAGAGAGAGAGAGAGAGAGAGAGAGGGAGAGGAAGAGAGAGAGAGAATCTGGGACCTTCCTCAGGACAGAAGGCTTAGTCAATAGCAATAGCACTTAGATTTATATGCCGCTTCTCAGAACTTTATATCCTCTCTAAGCGGTTCACAGAGTCAGCATATTGCCCCCAACAATCTGGGCCCTCCCAAATATGCTTTTTCAGGAGGCAACTGGACTTTCTTGTTTCTCTTTGAAAACGTTTCGCTTCTCATCCAAGAAGCTTCACCGCGATGTAAAAAAGATGCTGAGACTCTAGAAAGAGTGCAGAGAAGAGCAACAAAGATGATCAGGGGACTGGAGGCTAAAGCATATAAGGAACGGCTGCTGGAATTGGGTATGTCTAGTTTAATGAAGAGAAGGATGAGGGGGGACATGATAGCAGTATTCCAATATCTCAGGGGCTGCCACAAAGAAGAGGGAGTCAAGATATTCTCCAAAGCGCCTGCAGGCAGGACAAGAAGCAACGGGTGGAAACTAATCAAGGAGAGAAGCAACCTAGAAATAAGGAAAAACTTCCTGACAGTGAGAACAATTAACCAGTGGAACAACCTGCCTCCAGAAGTGGTGAATGCTCCAACACTGGAAGTTTTTAAGAAGAGACTGGACAACCATTTGTCCGAAATGATATAGGGTTTCCTGCCTGAGCAGGGGGTTGGACTAGATGACCTTCAAGGTC